GGTGGGGTTCAAGATCCTACAGTAACAGCAGGGAGAACAATAAGACTAGACACCACCTTTCTGTGCAGACTCGGAGGGCAGGCCGCCTCCATACCCCCTCACACCGAACGTTCTTAAAAGATCAGAGGGAATCCCAGGAGCAAGCCCACAGACATCACTGTCTAAACCTATCTGCCTGTTCTACCAAGTATCAGCCGGGAGTCTCTACAGAGAAGCACCAATGCAGCACAGAACAATCACCCAGGAGTGAAGGGCTCTACTCCAGACATTTAGTTAGATGAAATTCAGGATAAGGAATTCAGGAGAGGTGTATCAAGAAAGATTGAGGCACTTGAGAGGCAGTGTTAGGAGAATGAATACAGGGGCCAACCTGGACTACACTGAGACGTGTCTCAAAAAATAAAGCAGAATTAAACAGAGAGAGAGGAAGCTGACTAGACTAGATCAGGTAGTCAGACTTCGAGGTTTGAAGGTAAGGTTGGTGAGAAAGCTTACAGACAGTAAGAAAAGAAGAGGCTAACAAAGGAGACCATGCTTGATCTCAGACACATAAAACAAAACAAATCCCAAGCCGTGGTGTGCAGACAGGTTGGTGTCTGAGTTCAAGGCTAGCCTAGTCTACTGAGTGAATTCACACCACCCAAATGGCCACTCACAGTAAGTTCAGTTCTCAGAAGACCCCATGTTTCTTTCTAGCCTCTGTGGACACCAGGCATGCATGTGGCGCATTTACACACATAATGGAAGTACTGAGCATGAAGTAGCAGACACTAGTGGGTAACTTCTTCAAACTATCCCACAATATACCGAGACTTGTCTGCAAAGTTATTCTATGAGGACCATGCTGGTTGGTTCTAAACTCACCAAAGAACACGACCAAAAGAAGAAAACTATAGACCAATATTCTCAATATAAAAATTCTCAAAATACTTGCAGACTCAATTTAACAATATTAAAAAGGTAATTTACCACCAAGATAGCTTAATCACAGGAATGCAAAGAGGGCTCATTATTATTATTTGTTTTAAATCAGCAAAAGTAATATAGAAATCAAATACCTGTAATTCTAGTACCCGGGAGCCCAAGACAAAAAGGTCAGGTCAGGTCAGGTTCAAGGTCATCTGCAACTAGACCCCCAACATGGAAAGCACCTTTAATCATCCAGAAAGCACCTTTTAACATCCCAGCACAGATGAGGCAGGCAGAGACAGCCTCATTTTCACAGCAAATTCCAAGCCAGGCAGGTCAGGAGGATTGGACAGTGAGACCATTTAAATATATATGAGTATGTATTTTTTTCCTATTTATAGAGTACATGGTCCTATATTTAAAAAGACCCTGAAGGCCGGGCGGTGGTGGCGCACGCCTTTAATCCCAGCACTCGGGAGGCAGAGGCAGGCGGATCTAGGTGAGTTCGAGGCCAGCCTGGTCTTCAAGAGCTAGTTCCAGGACAGGCTCCAAAACCACAGAGAAACCCTGTCTCGAAAAACAAAACAAAACAAAACAAAAAACCAAACAAACAAAAAGACCCTGAAGTCTCTAGGAACTTTTAGACCTAATAAATTTAGTCAAATAGAAAGATTACAAAACCAACATCTAAAAACCAGTAGCATGGGACCAGCAAGACAGGTAAGCCTGAGGTTCACCCTAGATCCACACGAACTGACTTCATTAATTTGTCCTCTGACCAACACATGCACACTATGGCATGCCTATACTCAAAAATATATCTTACATGTTAGTGATAAAATCTTTTTATTAAAAAGATCAGTATTTTTCATATAGTAATAACCTATTATAAAAGAAATCAGAGCAATCTCATTCACAAATCTAAAAAAAAAAATCTAGCAACAAACCTAACCAAGGAGAAAGACCCTACAACATAACCATGCAACACAGAACACAAGACACTAACTTGTTAAAATGACCGTATCGAGTCAAGTGTGAAGGTCCACGTGTTTAATTCCAGTACCCGAGGAAGCAAAAGCAGATGGATCTGAGTCCCAGGTTAGCCTGGGTTACATAAGACCCCATCTCAAAACAAAAACAAACAAAAATAACAAAGTCATATTACTGGAAGGAATTTACACGATCAAGGTAGAGAATGGAGGGCCATCAAAGTCCACATATGTATGAAAACGTCACAATCAAACAATATCCTTACAGTTCTAACAGTCTGACAAGAGGTATGGCCATCACTAGTCATGTCCAAATACATTTATAACCTTGACAATGGTTATTTTAGTATTTTTCAACACAAGGTTTCTCTTTTAACAGCCTTGGCTGTCCTAGAACTTGTTTTGTAGATTAGGCTGGCATTGAAATCAGAGATCCACCTGCCTCTGCCTCCAAAGTGCTGAGACTAAAGGCATGCGTTACCATGCCTGGCTGACAAGATTATTTTTAACATAGGCACAAATGTGAAGAAAAAAAACCCAAAATATTATAGTTTATAAAAGCTAAAAATAGTCAAAGAATTAATGAGATTAAGAGGTTAATAAAAAACAGGTTTACAGGTTTAGGTCAAAAGGACAGAATCTACTTCAAAACTAAGCCTATTAGCAAACTACTGGCTGTTTCTAGAAACACATGAGTGAAGTCACTGCCACCCCACAGATACCATCACCACAAAAATCCGGGTGGAGTTCGGAAACAAGCAACGTTCTTTATTTTTAGGACGGGTTCATGTTAGGCATGATAATATACACCTTTAACTCCAGCACTTGGAAAGCAGAAGCAAGTGGATCTCTGTAAATTCAAAGCCAGCCTGGTTTCAAGACAGCAAGAGCTACAAAGTAAAATCAGACCTTGTCTCAAAACAAACAAAAAACAAAACGAACAAGATTGTCTCACTACGTAACCTTGGTTGGCCTGGAATTCAGTGATTCACCGGTCTCTGCCTTCCAAATGCTGATATTATGTGTATCATGCCAGGCTGAGTCAAGGTTCTTAACCCTAGACATACTTATGCCCAAGCTCTCCTTCAAATAATTTAAAATCTCTATGGACATCAAGATTGAAATCCACAGAAATAACTACTGTTTCCAATGAAGCCAGGTCATTCTGAAAAAGAACAGAATAGACATTACTCTCCCATTCAAAGCACATCGACTAAAACAACAAATATTTACTATGTAGCCAGGAGGGGATGAAAAGATGGCTCAGAGGCTAAGAGCACTTGCTGCTGCTCCAGGTCAAATTTAGCTTTCAGCACCCACACCGACAGCTCAACTCTGAAGCCCTAGGGGATCTGCTGCCATCTTCTGGCGTCTGTGGGCATCCACTGATAAATGGTTAAATGGTATCAAGAGGCTCTGATGCTCCACTACACAGAGTGATAACCACACCACTATACATTGTACAATGCATTCAAACAGCTAGGACCAAAATGAAAAATGCTTGAGGCATACTTAACCTGGTGCCCTTTTAATATGACATTGTTTTTGTTTTAAAATAAAAATATGCATATTTCTTAAAATATTCAAACCCAACAATGACATTTATAAATTCAATCTCAAACTTTTTAATTAAAAAATGCATTTATCTTAAAAATTATGTGTGTGTATGTTATGTGCACATGAATGCTAATGTCCACAGTGGCCAGAGGCACTGAATCCCCTGGAGCTAGAGTTAGGGGGCAACCGTGAAGCTTCAGATGAGGGCATGGTTCCTCTTCAAGAGTAGCACTAGCTAGCTCTTAACCATGGATCCGTCTCTCTAGCCCCCAATTCTTTTTTAAACATCTGTGTATATGGGTATATACATCACTGCTTTTGTGTACGGAGGTCAGAGGACAACTTGCAGGAGTTGCTTCTCTCCTTCCACCACGTGCATGCCAGAGTGGAGTTTCAGCCTCCAGGTTTGGTGTTAAGTGCCTGCCTTTATTGTCTCACCAGCTCTGAGGTAAACAAACTTCTGTCCGGAGTACTCAGATTCTTAAGCAGAGATCCATCATCTGCCTCCAAAAGGCTGGGGTAAGATGTGTGCTTTTAGAGCTGGAACCCAAGACACAGTACATGCTAGGCAACCGCTCTACCAACACACTATAGCTGTAGCCATAATTAATATTTCTTAAAAAAAAACCCTTGTTTTATTTTATGTACATAAGCACTCTGCCTGCAGGTACGCACCCATGTGTGCACCTGATGTTGTGGAGGCCATGAGAGAGAAACGAGCTCCTGGCGCTAAAGTTACAGCAGTTGGGAACTGATTAACCGCTAAGCAGCTCTCCAGACTCCTTCATAACACTCATTTTGACAATTTTTTTGCTCTTAATCAAGAAGCTTAAAAAATTACGGCAATCTCATTATAGTACCCATTAAGAAATTCTCTTTAGCGATTTCCATCCAACTCTAATTAGATTTTTAGAAAAAATTATGAAGCTCACACATTTTATTAATTTTACAGTCAGATTGAAGTATTAACATCTTTAAGTTTAGATGGGAAGCCTAATAATTTGTTCCAACTCACAGTGGTTTGAAGATCAACCCATCTTTGCCACAAGCCCCATTCTGAGAATTTGTATGTAGACGACACTTGTCAACTACAGGACCCCGACTCCAGTAGAGCCCACTCTATCACTGTCAGGTTCCTCAGGAGCCACTTGGTGTTCATGCCACTTTATTGTCAGATCAGAAGTACATAAGTTGGGCACAGTGGCATGCGGAGGCAGGATCACCCATGAGTTCCAGGACAGTTAGGTCTATATAACAAGTTCCAAGTCACTCATGACCACACAGTAAGACCCTGTTCCCCTGCTCGCCCCACACTCCAACCTTGTTTTTATTCTTTCTTTTTTTGAGAAAGAAAGTACTGTACATAGATGTTATTTGTTTGGCTAGGAAGAAAAGACAAACTAGCAAAAATAACAGGCTGGAGAATGTGTTTTTTTCTCAGAAAAGATAACCTAGAAAAACCAAGGGCCTTTTGATTTGGACAATTAACTCATAAACCGGTTTGTTTATGCAGGGCAGTGTTGTAACTTCACTGTTGGTTCCAAATTCAACACAGCACAAAGCAAGGAAGCATTTATTTACCACACTCACACAGCAATGATTACGCATCCTGATGTCTGCCCAGGCAGCTTAGAATAGCAAATATTCAGTCCCCGCAGAAGAACTCTTCGTTTTCTATGCCAAGTCAAAGAATATAAGGGCAAACTTGCTGAGCATGGCACTCAGGTACCACTCTCGGGTCTGGGACCAAACACAAATCCTAACCCAAAAGTTGGCTCCTACTTGGCTTCACTGATTTACCACTTAAGGAACTTAACACAGGCTAAGGCTCTAACAGCTTATCTGAGACAAATTTAACTCTAGATCACGACTTGACAAGAAATGTACAAATGTTTGTTAAGAACTTACCATTCTGTCAATCATTTTAAAGAGTTATGAAATATACATAACAATATATTTATAACCAGAAACTACACTAATTAGACACATCATTTAGTTTGTTAAGTTCTACCTGAAAACATGCCATTTTAAGTAAAATCCTAAAAACAAACTCTTGAGTTCTATGTTTTAACAATCAAGTCCTACTGAAGCAGCAGATTCCTTTCACAAGCGCAGGCCAGCAACAAGACAAACTGCAATGTCAGACAAACAAGTCCCCAAGTTCTTCTGAAGAACGCCAAGGAGTTGCCAGAGAGGTTACACAGTGGCCTTGATCTTTATTTTTCTTTACCCGGAATTCTACAAATTCCGAAATTGATCAATTGATTTATCTTGTGTAATAAACAGCACCAGTCGTGCCCACTGATACAATCCAAAGCTGACTCTCTCCGTTCTCAAGTTTATTATGAAAACACTGCGGTGACTGTGCAGTGACGTCATCTTACAGGAGGGGAAACAGTTCTATCCAAAACAACTCACCAGGGTTTCTGACAATAACAAAGAACAACGTGGGGCTGAGATTGGAGAAGGGAATAAACCGAGTGCAGACAAATCATACAATTAAATTAAATGGTATCCCTGAAAAGAAACAAAACAAGAGGGGAGGCCTTGGTACTTATTTAAAAATGTTCATTAAGCTCCAATGATTGTTTGCTATCCTCATCTACAGTCATGCTGAGTAAGCTACAGCTAAGTGGAAGTCAACTGGACTCACGGGTGTTAATGTTTACATCCTATTTCTGCAGTCTCTCAAGAAAGCAAAAGTAACTACAAATAGCGCTATGCCAGAAACTGGATTCTTGACCAACAATGTCGCGTCAGCATGCAATGAACTGGTTCATTCTAAAGTGGTCACGGCTGTTGATGACAAGAGGCTTTGTATTTTTATATGGCACATCTTTTGGTCCGTGTGAAAACAAGTTTTTTGAATGTTAACTATTTTCTGACACTTTGAAGTTACTGTTGCTCTTCCCATTTCCATTAGGTCAATATACGGTTCATGGCAATACTGTACAAGTTTAAATTTCCATTACAGGAAGTAGTCTGGGGTACGACGAGTGACATGTGGCTCGCCTCTACGAGGTGCTGGATCAAACTGCAAGCTGAAAAACAAAATAAGGTTCACTGTTTCTATTCTAAGAATACATCCATGTATTTTATTAAAACCTTCAAATTTTCAAATGTTATGGTTTATTTCTTATCCAATTTCAGCACATTTTAACAGGTTAAAACCCAACTTCAAAGTTGGGCACCGCTCTAAAACCAGCACTTGGGAAACTGAGGCAAGGGGATCACAGTTCTAGACCAGCTTGGGTTATAAATACAAAAAAAAAAAAAAAAAAAAAAAAAGAACCCAACTTTTAATTCCAGCACTCAAGAGGCAGAGGCCAATGAACTGAGTTCCAGGAAAGTCAGGGTTACATAGCAAGACCTCAGCTCAAGTTGTTGGTTTATTTTTAAGGGGTAGGGGACGTGCATAGTCGGTTTTAGCTGTCAACCTAATACAAGAGCCATCACCTGGGGACAGTTTTAACTGCGGACTTGTCTAAATTAGGTCAGGCTGTGGGCATGTTTGTGGAAGACTATCTTGATAACTGATGTAGGAACACCAAGCCCACTGTGGCCATTACCATTCTCTAGACACGGGGCCCTCAATTCTTCAAGAATGAATGAAGAGAGCTAACTGAGCATAAGTAAGGACCCACACATGTATCTCTACTTTTTTGCTTTGTTTGAGTCAAGGTTTCTTGATACAGTGCTGGCTCTGAAACTCTATATAGACTAGGTTAGCCTCAAATCCACAGAGATCCTCCTGCCTCTGTTGGAATTAAGGTATATGTCACTACACCTAGCTCTCTACTCTTGACTGTGGATGTTATTTGAGTAGCTGTGTTGCATTCTTGCCTTCAACAGTGGACTAGAACTTGGAACTGTAGCCTGAACAACTGTTCCCCCTAACTCCATGTTGGTTTTGGTTAGAGTAACAGCAAAGAAGTCAAGGATGTCCTTAACCTCTCAAACCTCCTGCGCCTCAGTCTCCAAGTACTAAGATTAGAGCTTTGAACCTGTGTTGTAACTGTACTTCAGTCCTAGATACTACATTTTCATATAATGGGGCCCCTTCTAATAAGATCATTTAAATGTCTAACATATTGATCTGATCCATAATAAAAACATGAGTTTAGAAATTGAAGACCACTGAACTTAGTGGCAACGGCCTTTAGTACCAGTACTTGGGAGCCAGAGGCAGGTGGATATCTATGAGTTCAAGGCTAGTCTGGTCTATATAGTGTGAGTTCCAGTGAAAACAGAGATAAATAGTAAGACCCTGTTTTCAACAACAACAACAACAACAACAACAACAAGAAATTGAAGACCTAATAAATCAATTCAATCTGGGCTCCAAATAAGAGAAACTAATTTCTGTTACGTGTAGGTTCATTCCCAATCTGTAAAGTCAATCTGTAAGAGAACAAGCAGCTGCAGCTCGGGTAAATACTTACAAAGAATACTTAAGAGTGTCGTCAAGTTCCATGATTGCAGCTTGGTTACCGCAACGATAGCAATAGTTTGGAGCACTGAAAATTGTTACTACATTCCGGTCATGGCACCAGTTATATCCCTGTAAAAAAGAGGCAGGGAAAAAAAAAAAAACTCTATTAAGACAGAAAAATGACAGTTTCTCTCAAAAATGGTTAATTTTTTGTATTATTAAAAAACCTGTAAAATGTACACGAACTTATTTGTTATGGCTAAAATGAAAAAAATAGTTTGTTTTTTAGCATTTAAAAGCCAGCCAAACATGGTGGCATATACTTTAATCCCAGGAGACAGAGGTCGGTGGATCTGTGAATTTGAGGCCAGCCTGATTTACATAGTGAGTTCTAGGACAACTACAACTATGTAACAGAGAGATCATATTCCAAGAAACCAAATAAATAAACAAGCAAACAAAGTCATTTTAAATATTATCCATCACCAAATATTAATCTGCTTCTTATATAGTATGTTTCTATAAATCTTTCTTTCATTTACATGACCTTAAACATAATTTTAAAATGAACTTATTTGAGACAGGGCCTCATTGTGCAGCCCAGGCTGGTCTGGATCACAAGGCAATCCTGTTTCAGCCTAACTAACAAGGTTGCAAGCGTGTGCAGCCATACTTATCTCAGGATTAGTCCTGACAACACTTTAGAGGAGAAATTGTGGTAACCCATGTTTCAAGTTAAGAACCCACTAGAGGAGACTTCTTTCCTATCACCTACAGTCCAGGCATCCAAAGGACTACATCAATGCTTTGAAGTTCCTTCCCTTTCCTACACACAGACATACTGAATATGTATAAACAAACACAACTGCACTTTATTATACCCTTCTCTATCTCTACGTCTGAACCCTCTCATCATTAGATCCCAAGTCCCTCCAAGTCATTAAGAATCTGAAGATACACCAGGTAGTGGTGGTGCTCACCTTTCATCCCAGTACTCAGGAGGCAGAGGCAGACGGATCTCTTTGAGTTCAAGGCCAGCCTGGGCTACACAGAGCAAGCAGATCAAATACCAGGACAGGCTCCAAAGCTACAGAGAAACCCCACCTTTAAAAAAAAAACAAAAACAAAAACAAACAAACAAAACCTAAAGATCCATTAAATATATATACCACTATCATCATAAACCTGACTTTCATTTGACTGCACACCTACGGAAAAGGGGTCAGCTCCAGTGGTAGACTCTATGGGAATACAGCACTGTCCCACTAACAGCCCCAATATCAAGCTCCTTTCCTTCAGTCATTAAAAAGTTAAGTCTGACAAGTTTCAAAGAAAAGAACATACCTCCATTACCAGCTGGTGAGCTCTGGACACCAACGTGAGGCCATTGGCATGATTAAATGTCTCAGATATATCTTGGCCAAAGGTATAACCAGCTCCTCGAGGAGATATCCCCCAGCCGCCACGGTCGTCTGGATCTGACCACAGCAAGTCACACATTGGACCCTAAGAAGCAGGTACAAGTTATAAACTGACTCTTACCATAGTGGAAATTCTTGATTTGATAATTCACCAGAAGCCGCACTCCAAGTGCAAATCACTTTTGAGTGGTGTCTGCTAGCGAGGCATGACCTTTGCAGTTAAGCTCTCTCTGAAATGAGAAGCGCTTCTAACAAGGCCCAGTGCAGACCTACAGGTGCGCTCCATCAGTAGTGTAACATGATGGGGCCGGCTTGTTGGGGTATCTGTCCCTCCCAGTACCCCACAACCGGCAAGCAACAAAGAAAAACACACACAAGACTCCATAAGATTATAAAGCTGATTGGCCCATTAGGTCAGGCTACTTATTAGCTCTTATAACTTATGTTACCCCATTATCCTTATCTACGTTAGCACATGGCTCAGTACCTTTTCCAGTGGGGCAGCTTACATCTTTCCTCTCCGGTGGTCTGGGCAGAACTGGCAGAGGGAGCTTCCTAGAATACTCCCAGTCTCTTTGCTCCACCTCTATTTCCTGTCTGGCTTTTCTGCCTATACTGCCTGCCTGGCCAATCAGCGTTTTATTAAAATATGATTGACAAAATACAGATAATTCTCCCAGTAAGCCAGTGCACTTTCACTGTTAGGCAGCATGGGCTAAGAGCGACAGCAGAGGTTTCTACATTTCTTCTGAGCAATGCTAAGAGGGCTCATGTGTCACTTCATTTACAATTTGAGTGGACACACAATGAATTAAGCTACAGTTAAACAATTTTCCCTTTTCCTATGGTTTCTGAGAAGAATTTATCAAAGAGAAGTCATACCTCATGAGGAACTTCTTGTAGGCGATCAAGTGCTCGGATGTGATCCAGTGTGTCTATGGACGGTGACAGACCGCCATGTAGACAGAAGATCTAAAAAGATGGATTACAAATGGTAACTACACCTAGAGAAATTAAGCTATTTGGGGCACAGTTCAGGTAGGAGCCTCCACCATTTGGTCACATCAGTTTCTAGGCCCTCTCCGTTTCAATGAGGCTTGACTCTCAAGAGTTGGCCATTGTTCTGTCCAAGCCCCAAGCACTAAGCATCCATTCTTCTTCTTTACCAATTGCCATCGCTGAGGCTTCTTCAACAAAAAGTCCCTCTAACCTTACCCTACTGGTAGTCACCTTCATACTCAGAAGTTTCATCCAAGTTTGTAAGTACACATCTACTAGCAAACACCTCTTTTATGTCTCCTAGACTCCTCTACAAACAGCCCCCAAAGCTGAATGAGTTACATTTTCCACCCCCAGGGTCCCATTCTGTACAGTTCAGTACCTGATACATAGAAAAAACAACACTAAGAAAGCAGTAACTGAAAAAAATGAAAACAGCAGAGAGTTTAAGGTGCACGCACCTGCCCATCCACCAAGGCAGTGAGAGGAAGGTAGTCAAAAAGGTCTGTGAAGTATTTCCAAACATTTGCATTTCCGTATTTCCTTAAACACTCATCGTAGAAACCATAAACCTGTGTGATCTGTCTGCTCTCATGATTCCCTCGGAGTATGGTGATACGCTCACGGTAACGAACCTACAGTGAAACAGACAGACAGCTAGCTCTTTTCCAAAACAAAACAAACCAACTGATATTTCATAAAACTTTCTATAGGGAAACCCAGAGTTCCAATTTTGAAGGAAAAAAAAAACACCCCACATTTCTACATTTCGATGGACTGAAATCACACATTATATAAACTTTTTGTTTGTTTTTTTGAGACAGGGTTTCTCTGGAACTCGTTCTGTAGATCAGGTTGGCCTCGAACTCGGAGATCAGCCTGCCTCTGTCTCCCAAGTGCTGGGATTAAAAGTGTGCACTACCACATTTGGTGATCATAAAACATTTTTTTAAAAAAAGTATTTATCAATATCAACTCAATTAAAACCACACCCCCTGTACCATCTTGTGTGAAAGGTTTTTCTATGACCTTGACTAAATTTACAGTTAAGCAACAATCACCACAACCGAATTTTAGAGCCTTGCATTCCTTACAAAGATCTCATGCCTATCTGCAATCCCTCCCCCAGCTCCTGACAACCACTGATGTCTTTTGACAATGCCTTTTCTAGACATTTAAATTAAGTGAAAACCAACAGAATACAGCTTCTCGTGCTGCATATCCCTTGGAGAACCACCCTGGAGTCACCATGCTGCAGCGTGGACGGGGACGCATACCTTCCCAGGGTGGCCATTTGCCATGGTTTCTGTACTTGCTCCAGCCTCCCCAGCTATTAGTTACTGAACTCATTTGTTCATATGCTTTTATTTCTCTTGAACATATTCCTAGAGTGAAGTGGATGACTGGTTTATATCCAACTTTATCAAAATTCTTTAAAGTGGCCAGACCATTTCACATTCTTCACAGGAATGGATGAGGTGTCTAATTTCCTGACATATTCATCTATGATTTTTACTGTAGTCACTGTATTAGTAAAAAGACACAAATTAGTTGGTATATGTGACTTCAATGTAGATTTCCCTAATTACTTACAATGTTAACTAACCATGTCCTTACTGACCATCTATCTTCTAGGCTGAAGTAGTTGTTTAAGTACTTTGCCCATTTAAAATTAGATTATCTATCTAAGGTTAGGCATCCATGCAGATGGATGAAGAATTTGAGGCTTATTCAAGGTATAGTATGATCCTGTCTCAAGAAATTTGTCTTAGCTGGGTGGTGTTGACGCACATCTGTAATCCAGACCATCAGGAGGAAGAAGCAGGTGGATCTGTGACTTTGCCAGCCTGGGCTACAAAGCAAGTTCTAAGACAGTCAGAGAGGGTACAGAGAAACCCTGCTTCAAAAAACAAAAATGAAACAACAACAAAACAGAAAGAAAGAAATCTGTCTTGACATGGCTGTACAAGCTTATAACCCCAATACTAAGATGACTGTAAACAACTGCAGGGCAGTCTTGGCTGGACACCCTGTCACCTGTAAAATAAATGCCCAAACAACCCCCACAAACAACCACAAAAACCCCTTCTTATTATTAACAGGCCTTTAAAAAAAGGTACGTGTGGGCTAGCGCAATGACTGAGAGTAAAGGTGTCTGCCATCAAGCCTAATTTTAAATTACATTCATTTTTTTAAGTGCATGTGTACATGTCATTTTATTCTGCCCATGTGGGTTCCAATTATCAAATTCAAGACATTAGGTTCTGTGGCAACTGTCTTTACTCAGCCATCTCACTGGCCCTAATTAGTTATGCCACAAAATAAATTATGGCTACATTTTATCTGTTACCTACTAATTTGCTCTCTAGGACCCATAGGTGAAAGGGGAATTGACTTCCATACATGCTTGATGGCATGTATGTACTCCACACAGTAAAATAAAATTAACAAGTAACTGTAAAAATGTTTTAAATTTGAAGCGAGGCTACAGCTCAGGGGTGAACCTGTGCTAGCATGCAGGAGGCTGAGTTCAACCAGAAGCACCAAGAAAATAATAATTTGAACAAATGTTTCTTCTTTGCAGCATCTCTGAACTGTTCCTCCTGCCTCCATTTCCTAATTGCTAGAATTACACGTCTATATTATCACACTTATAATACTGTGCTGGGGGTCTGCATGCTAACCAAGCACTCTAGAAACTTGGCTGCATCCCCAGCCCTGGATTATCATTCTATGAACACAGCTGAGAAATCTGAGCCTAATCAAGAGCAGACTTTTTTTTCTTCTTAAATTTATAGCCCCTGCTATTAATTTAGGCCAACAATCTGTTCTGATGCATTTGTTCAGACAGCATTTAAAAAAGGGCCACCTTCCCCATAGTTTCATGAGTTTCACAGCGAGTCCATACACTACAGAGGTACCCTTCCTCAAGGTGTCAGCAGAGCTGGGGTCTCTTAAAGTTAAAGTCATCTCTTGATTCAGACAGCAGTTTTCTCCATGTGGTCTCATCTTCTTCCCTATGTTCATATACACCTGGAGGCAGAGGACAACCTCGCGCGCTATTCTTACAAATGGTCATCTGCCCCCTTGGAGACAGCATCTCATTGTCCGGGAGCTCAGTTAGGCTAGCTGGCCAGTGAACCTCAGGGACTCTTTTGTCTCTACTTCTTCAGGGTTGGGATGTCTCCATGCTTGGCACTTAAAAAAGTGGGTTTTGGGAATTGAACTCAGGTCTTCCAACTGCGCTATCTCCTTAGCCCCCTAATCTCTTTTTATAGAACTACCCATATGATCTCATTTTATTTAACTATTCATGTAAGGGGCTAGCACCAAGTGCAGTCACACTCTGAGGTTCAGGGAATTAAGATTTGTGCCTTGACATTTAGGAGTACACAATGCAGTCTAGTCCTTAGTACATAAATTTTCTTGCTGTTGTTTGTTTTTTGAAGACAGGGATGGAGCCTTTGCTGGTGGGAGCTTTATGTGTTAGACAAGGCTACCCTTGAACTCAGAGTTCAGTTTGCCTCGGTCTCCATAGTAGTACTGGGATTAAAGCAGTGTCAATCCCAGTGGTACACGGATTCTTCAAGGCAGCCAAGCCCTTCCACATGATCCTGGGCTACCAGCTTCTTCCTTATGTAGACACTGCACAAAGTGCCCCCGTCTACTCTAAACACTCAGTACTCTCAGCATTGTAAATGATCACCATTAGTTAGCTCTGACTAACTCTCACTACTTCTCTACGTAAGAAAAATCGGTGACAGCAAACTTCTTGTTCAGAATATTCTGCAATAAAAAACGAATCTGTTGCCTAGGAAGAGCGGTAAACTTTCCCCCTGTAAGGTAAAGTCAAACAACTTCCTAGGGCAGAGGCAGCATTCGACTCTAAATCAATGCCAATGTGTTTCAGCATTGATTCTTCATCTCTACATTTCAGAGCTACAAATGACAAGGACTCTAAAATTTGTTTCTTTTATTTTTTTTAAAAAGATTTATTTACTTATTAAGCATACAATGGACTGCTGGCAAGGAAGGTACCAGGTCTGTAAGAGCTTCCAGTGCTGCTCTAACTCTCTGAGCCATCTCTCTAGTCCAATTTGCTTCTTTTAATTATTATTATTATTCCTCCCCCCCCTCAGAAAAGGTCTTATTATATAAGCCAGACTGGCCTCAACTCTTAAGACTTTTACCTGAGCCTCACCAGAGCTGACACTACAGCACTCATGTCTCATGTTTAATTGTTATTACTCCAAGGGAATAAACTATTGTTTAGGCATTTGCTCAGTCTTGTACACTAAGATCAAATCTCTTTTCTAATATTAAAGACAACAAAATCTTCACTTTATAAATTTGATCTTTTTCTCTCAATTCTTCCTTCATCAGATTTTCACAGGACTGTCAAATGAAGTAAATAACCAAACATAGATGTTCAAACTCTCCTAATACTTAATGCAGTCGTTATTATTTCCATTGTCAATGTACTAAACTAAAACTTCTACTTGATTAGTTTGCCAGTCACAGCACTTGGGAGACAGGGGTAGACTACAAACTCTTTGGGTTTGAGGCCAGTCTGGTCTACATAGTGAGTTCCATGACAGTTAGAACTATGTAGTGAGATTCTGTCTAAAAACAAACAAACCAACAAAAGACCTCAAGGTATCCCATGGCACTGTGTTCTGAACCACCTTCTGGCTCCAAATGAAGACAGGATGATTAAGTTTGACATCCACATTATTTGCATTCTTAATTAGGCGTGGAAGTTTGTTCTAAAATTTAACATTCAGATGAAGATAACAAGTCATGGTAGGAAAAGAACATTCCAGAGGGCTTTCACTCAGTTCAAAAGGCCCAAACAGAAAAAGTAAAATTACCTTAAGAGCTACAAGCAGTGTAACTGTTTCAACTGAGTAATATCCTCTGTCCACATAGTCTCCCATAAACAAGTAATTTGTATCTGGTGATTTACCACCAATTCTAAAGAGTTCCATGAGGTCATGAAATTGCCCATGTACATCTCCACACACAGTGACCGGACACCGAACCTCTTGTACGTTGGATTCCTTTGTCAGGATTTCTTTAGCCTACAAAGAAAAAAATAAAGCAATACATTCAGCATTAAACAGCATCAAAATAGATGCTTTGTTTTTATTAATGCAAAGGGCGAAACTGGCAAAATATGAAACCACAGGCATTTGCAACCCAAGATAGACATTAAAATTTTTAATTTTAAAACTTGCATTTTATTGTACCGGTTGGTGGAGGCGCACACCTTAAATCCCAGCACTCAGTAGGCCAGCCAAGACTGTTACATCGAGAAACCCTGTCTTGACCTCCCACCCCCAAATCTATTTTATATATTTTGTGTGCAAGTTCTCATTCCACCCATGTGTGTCCTAGTGATTAAATCAATGTCCTCAGGTCTACTGGCAAGAGACTTAGTCACCTTACTAGCCCATTGGCTATATTTATAAGACAAGATATGGTTAGTTTTTCCTTTGGCTACCTTGAGGGAGATGTTTAGAGAACATGTACCAAGATGATATTCAATCATCACTCTCAGTTTGTAAAGGCTATCAAATTTCCATCTCATTAGAGACTAAAGACATTAGTATCACCCACACAAGATGAAAACGACCAGGAGGTGGGCTGAAGAGAGATGGCTCAGCAGTTAAGAGCACTGGCTGCTCTTTCAGAGGATTCAAGTTCAATTCCCGGCACCCACACAGTAGCTTGTACCTATTTGCAATTCCAGTTCCAGGTAATCCAAACCTCTTCTGGCCTCTGAGGGCCCAATATGGAAGTGGTACAGACATACATGCAGGTAAATAAGTAAATTTGGAAGAAGAAAAAAAAAAGAGCACTAATGTCTCCTCAGGCTGAGGTTTCTTGGTCTTGACTTTTTTTTTTTTTTTGGAGTTTAAGACATTTAAATTTCTCTCTCATTTCATTCTATTTCTTTATAACAATATAAAGTTCTTGTTTTACAATTAGAATACCCAATATAGCATACATGCTTTTTAGGCTGCTTTTAGAAGCCATCATTCAGCCAGACATCCACATATGCTAAAAACATATACTGGAAGACAATTATCTGCTAAACCATCTGAATGACTCTGCATTGTGCTAGTCACTGGACACTGGTGTACAAAATAGGTCATTTCCATGGCAAAGGAGAAAGGCTGTAAGCAAGCAAGGGGGAAAAGAAAACACTAAATGAACAAAGTAGACTATCCCACGTATCATCAGGAAGGGGAGACCACTTTAAATGAAGACACATGATCAAATGCCCATACTGAAATTTTGCTACCCAGCAATCCCGGCATTCAGGGCCAAGGCAGGAGGCTTGCCACGAGTTCAATGTCAGTCTGGACAATTACAGGTATCTATCCTCTCTCAAAAGAATCCTCCCCCAACACACAAATAGAGAACAATGTTGCTAATGAGCCAACTGGTGACAACCAACATTACCACAATTTAAGGCTACACATTTGAAACACGGATCTCTTCTTTCTTCCCCAAATTTGGTTGTAATCTTTGGAAAAAAGAGCCCAAGTCAGTAACATTTACTTTCCTCTTCACACCTACCAATGCTACCCAAGTACAACCGACCATAGAATCACTACTTTCTATTCTCCAACGGCTTGGGGGAGCCTATTTCCAGACACTCACCAAGTTTAGAAGAATATTTTCAGTTTAAAAAAGAAATGGGGCCCTTCTATTAAACAAGATCTTATGATCAGGAAATGTGGAAGTTAAAATGCAATCTAAACAATGTGGAAATTCTGGGAAGAGTGCAATCTTTGAGGGGAGGTCATTAGCACACTACTAACACTCAGTATGTTTGGACTCGGGCATCTCACAATTTCATCGCTAGCCTGATGTAAGAGACCCACAGACAGACTCTACTTTCTTCTCCACCCCACTTGTCCCCAGACAGGGTTTCACCCTATAGCCTTGGCTGTCCTGGAACCCAGAGATCCACCTGTCTCTGCCTCCTGAGTGATCAAATAAGATGAAATGAAAGCAGGATTATGTGAACTAGGTTTTGTAACTCATCCATGGCAGAATTGTTCAAGGAAGATAATAAGAAAAATCCAGTTGGGCAGTAGCGGTGGCAGTTGGGTATTTGTAAATTTGGGATCAACTTGGTCTACAAAGCAAGTTCCATGACAGCCAGAGCTGTTAACACAGAAACCCTGTCTCAAAAAAACGGACTGGACCGGACAGGACCGGACAGGACCGAACAGGACAGGAAAAAGGAAAGAAAAGGAAGCAAGGAAGGTTCAATTACTTATTTATCACTTCCTTAGAGGTACATAGTACTGTCATTTCTAGTTAACTTACACTGTAGAAAAAGCCACCCATCCATTAAAGTTAAACACTTTAGTAGAACAGTAACCCTCTAACACAATTCATGTTATGACCCCCAACCATAAAATCACTGCATTGCTACTTTATAATTTTGCTACTGTTATCAACTGCAATTAAGTATCTGATATGAGATCCTCCTGACTTAGAAGCATAAGAACCCAACTGTGTCAAAATCCTTTTATGAACTTATGTATCAAGCTACTCATCAAAATGACACAGAACTCACAGAAATTATTCCTGTCATCTCTAAAGTCAAATCCATGGCTTTGAAAACCAAAAAGGCAGTGCTGAGATGTCCATGAGCATGTCTGTCATTCACCTTCCCCTAACTTCCAGCAGTCCAAGAAGCCACAGCTTTACAGGTTGTCAAACACCCTCAGAATGCCTCCACAGAAGCAGGTTTGTACAGCAGGCAATCACCAGGCTCTTTTTAAGCACAGAATCAATAAACAAACAAAAAACAAAACAAACAAACAAAAACAAAAACAAAACAGAAGACAGACACCACACTTGTACTCACTGGAGATGTCAAGGCCCAAATAAACACCAAACTCAAAAGACCCCAAGGAGGCAAAACCCCACATAGTCCCACGGAGGGGGGGGGGGCTAGGTTTGGTTGCCTCCTGATCATGTGATGACGCCCAGGTGGGCAGACTGCAATTTCTGTGGAACTCAGTTGGCTAAGTTTAAACATTGTTTTCCCCATCATTAAAAAAAAAAAAAAGTAGAAGCTGTACGTGGTTGCAAATGCCTGGCATTTTGGAAGTAGAGGCAGGAGCATGGGAAGTTAAAAGGTTGTCCTTGGCTACTCGATTAGTTAAATTCCTGATACTGTTCCAGAAAGTTCGAGTCCTAGATAACATGCTAAGATGGTCTCAAACCTGGCTGATGGCACAGGCCTTTAATCTTAGCAGTTGGGAGGAAGGCGCAGGTGGATCTAAGTTCCAGGACAGCTAGGGGCTATAAAGAGTAACCCTGCTTCAAAAACAAAACACAAAACAAGACAAAAACAAATAAACAAAAAACAATCACTGAATCACACAACAAGAACCACGATACTTCATGGGCGCCAAAACAAACTCCTTGTTTCCAAAACTGGCTCAGTCACCTACTGCTCATTTTGCTCTATTTAAATAAATCACGATGAAAGTAGAAGCCTTCTTTCCTTCTCAGCCAAGGGCTCTGCCACTCATCTACAGCGCCACCACTTGACTTTTGACACTGGGCTTCCCTAACACCGCATGCAGGCCTTGACTTCATTTTATGGCCTAGGTTGGCCTACATCTTGGCCTCACATGGCTTAGATGGCCTCTAACTTAGAGATCCTGAGCCCTTAGCTTACTGTGTTAGAATCAGAGGCACTTAAAAAAAAAGTTTTTAAGATTTCTTCAAAAAAAAAAAATTAATGTGCATTTTATGTTTCGACTTCATGCACCTGTGTGAGGGTGCCAGCTCCCCAAGAAATGAAGTACAGACAGCTGTGAGCTGCCATGTGGATGCTGGGAATCGAACCAGGGTCCTATGGAAGAGCAGCCAATGCTCTTAAGCCACTGAGCTATCATTTCTTCAGCTCCTAGAGATGTTTTCTTAAAGGTGTATGTTTATAGTGTTTTCCTTCAAAACAATAATACACTCTTAGGAGGATGTGGGGGAAATATGCCTGTAAATCTAGCACTCAGGAGGCACAAATAGCAAGATCTTGAATTCTAGGACAGGCTGGACCATACAGTAAGACCACCTTCTAATGCCCCCATACAATAAATAAATAAAAAAATTAAATTAAACAAAAAAGTACTCCAAGGAATTCCTGTAATAGGTCAAGAGTAGAATCTTTTGTTTTTTTGAGACAGATCTCTGTGTATTCCTGGCTGTCCTTGAACTCACTCTATAGGCTGGCCTCAAACTCATAGTCTCTGCCTACCAAGTGCTGGGATTAAAGGTGTGCGCCACCACTGTGTGGCAAAAGTAGAGCCTTAAGGTCTTTAATGAGGGAAATATGATGCAGTTTACTGGATGATTAATGATGTGTTTTACTACAGAAACAATCCTGTATTTCACAAATTCTGCCCTGAGTAGTCTCTGGAAGGAGACACTAACCATCAACCATCTTATGTAAAGAAGTTAGTGTTGGCTTTCTTTTTTTTTTTTCTTTTGTTTTTCAAGGCAGGGTTTCTCTGTGTAGATTTGGTTGTCCTGGAACTTGTTCTGTAGACCAGGCTGGCCTCGAAGGCATGCACCACCACTGCCCAGCTAAAACTTTGCTATTAATTAGAGAAGAAGAAAAAAAAAATCAAACTAAATCTGTGCGGAGATATGCCATCAAGATAAAGTTGAACAGTGAAGGCCTAATAAGGACTGGTCAGCGGAATCCAAAGCAGAAGCACAAGCCTACCAACAGCACAGCCAAGTCTGGAGCCGTTGCAAACTCAACTCCACACTTGCCCTTACCCAGATAAACAAGCAGTCTAGAACCAAAGTTTGCAGCCTTTTGCTCAACCCCAATACAAGAATTATCATGTGTGAGATAAACAGTAACTTGAAAACAAAAATATGCACTCAGAAATATTATCTACACTTAAAAAGACTGAAGCAGGAGGGAGAGAGAATGGAGGATCAAGCAACTAGCTGGTCATGCAGTCACAAATAAAGAGGACTCAGAAATATGCCCTCTGCTGTGTTCATCCACTCAATATGCAACTCCAATTTATAA